GGGTGGGTATAATATATTATTTTTATTTTATAACATTATTATTAATTAAAAATAATAAAACCTGATTTTTGATTAAAAAAAGTCAAAACCTGATTTTTAGAAAGTTAAAACTAAACACCTGGTCTAGTATAATTTCCTCTTAAATTTAGCCCATGTTTGACTCTCTTTAAAACAAAATAATTTATTTTTCATTTCCATTTTTAACCATACTTTCACGCAATAATATATTTTATATGTAAATTAATTTTTTTTTTCACTTTTTAACTACATATTCTTAAAAATCACTATTCAAAACATTATTTTTACACAATAATAGCCATCAAAAGTTTACCCACCAATTAATTGACATATTATGTCACTATCACTTAGCATACACTAAAACATTTCTCATTAATCATACATATACATGCATTTAACGAATATAAATTTGCATGCGTGCACATGCACATTTGCTGAGAAATGATTCACCAAATGTGTGGACGAACCCCATATACTGCACAGTGCACACACAGCAGCAACCAGTCAAGCATTCTACATCACCAGCAAGATTACAAATTTACAATTTAGCACCTATCACATGTCTGGGAGCAGTAATGCTGAATTCAATGGGATGGGGCACAATTGACATATAAGATAAAATTGACACTAGCATAGCATGTATGGTTCGTATTATTGGATAATACTGAAATATACAACAAATAAAATTGTAATTCTATGTCCTTAATCCTCAATGTCACGGGACACGGGTCAAAATTAGAATAGTACGGAGAAGTCGCATGCAATTGCTAGTATTTTGGTTTTCAATATTTCCGTTCTTGTTTTATGACACTGATTTATAACCAAACTGAAAAAGATAAGACAACTATATGCTTAGCACACCAGAATTTTCGTGACATGTTCAATACAGTGAAGTGTACAAAATATTAAGATCTAATTCATCATACTATATATCAAACACGCCCTCATAGTAGAAAACTGTGGTTATCTCGTTTAGATACACGAAAAAGAAAAAGAGAACTGCCGCCCATGAAAGAGCTAGAATGATTTTCTCAAACAAGGTTGTAAGCTTAGCCCCTATTTGATAGTAATTAAAATCTAAACTTTAATCTAAGTTAAAGTAATTCTAACCACATGTTTCATGTGACCCACAATTTTCCAACCACTCATTTCATCAATTTTATTAAAATCTACTAAAAATCTGATTTTAATACCTACCAAACAGGGGCTTAAAATCATACGATTGCTAAATAAATAATCCCACCATTCTTATAGTGAGACGACACTAATATTGTTCAGAAAACTCGTGTTTCTAAAATTAATAGGCAGAGAAATAAGTGTTTTAACAGGTTTAAGGTTTGGATCCATAAATGAAATCTGCAGACAGCATTAGAGTTTAATCTTACTATGTATAATTTTTTTTTTTTGACAATTAAGTTACTAAAATATATAGCATCTATATCAATAATCTAAATTACAAGTAAGGAGATTATGTGCCTAAAAGTTCTTGCCATTCACAAACAACAACCATGTTTACACGTACAAGCTTATGAATATGTGGGAATACACACAGAGACAGTTGATTCAATGAATGTAGAGAGTTTTTCTACTTCACTGCGAGGATTGCCCTTTGACGGCTAATGCCGTCATATAAGATTTGCTCTAATTTGTAATATCTTTTTTACTCTAAAACTACAAGAACCTATTTACCACTCTAATTTTTTTAACACAGCGTATTAGCCAGGCAATTGCATGAAATTTGTGAATTGAAAGTTCTCAAGACATCACATAGGCAGTTGAATCAAAGAACTATTGCCTAAACAGTCAATTGAAATTTAGGTGGGTTCTTGTGTAGCTCACGTTCTGTTTGGACAGGCAGTGAACTTTCTATGGGCATCAAATGTCATAATTTAGATAACATTGACTTGAATAGCACTAGATATAGCTAGAGAGAATGACATTTTACAATTCTTTTCCGTGAATTTTCATTTTCTAATGTCATTTCCAAACAATGTTAAGTCATTTTGTCCTCTCCATTCCCAAATTTTATTCTTCATTTTTCGCTTGTTTATTTTCTTCGTGTTCTTTTCTTTTTCAGTTTAGCACACAAATCTTAATACCATAACAGAGTGAGAGACATTTAGTGTTTAGATTATGGTTGCATTACATTTGGGTTTTGTTTCATCTCAACAACAGTTGTGCGAGAGGTTGATGCATGGATTCAGAGATGTTTTCTCAACTCATTGATGCTATTTCTTTCATGTCACATGTTAGTTCAAGATGTAACAATGCAGCAGCACTTTTGTCTGTTACTTACCAATTTAAAACACTTCACAAATGTACACAAAATAAAATGAAATGAAATGCAATGTGATCATAATAATTATTTTATCAATCAAAAGATATTTAATCATTATAAACCACTCTTGATTACAGATATTGGGAATCATCCAATATGCCACTCAAGTAACTCCTAAAAGCTATTGTCATGATTATATTCAGATGAATTCAACAACTCAGTTGGCAGCAAAAAAATAGATGCTCAGAGTGTACCTTCCATACCCCATTGGAATTATGATAAAGGAAAGAAAACCAATTCTACACTGCTTGTCCGTGCATGAATTAAGCCGCATGCTGTCATGCCATGGAAGTGAATTCTACCACCTGTTCCGAGGATGGATTTGAATGAGCCATTTTTTGTTTTGTCATTTGTGGGATTAGGTGTTTGCAGGTAAATTTGTTTGCCATTGCATCGAGGGATTCCATTTTCCCTGTTCTGGCATTTGAGGAGGCACCATTGTCTGTGTGGAGCCTCGTGATCCAGGATATGGCCTCTGAGGTGGAAACGGAGACGATTTTCTATTGAAAATGTTTTCAACCTCCATTCGTCTCCCTTGTTTCTCAAAAACATCCAACACAAATTCCTCGAGTGAAACAGTGGTATCAACACCGTAGTCCATCATCTGACTGAGCAAATTGACAGTGGCATCATAATTGCCTCCCTCAATTAGGCCCCTAATTACAACATTATAGGTTGTAAAATCAGGTCTCGGTTCTTTATTACCCATTTTCGACAAAATGGGTAGACAGTCAAGAACCCGACCCTTCTCAATCAAGAACCCAAACCACTCATTCGCATATGCTGGAATAACCCTAAACCCTGACTCAACCATCTTCGAATACTTATCCAACATTTCCTCAATCCTATCCACTTTCATATAAGCATCAATCATTATTTTGTAAGTATTCACACTTAAAGACATTGATTTCATACTCACTTGCCTATAATATTCCTCTGCCTCATCGATCATGTCAAGCTCGCACAACCTTGCCATCATATTGTTATACCCTGCCACATCCATCATAAAAGGCTTCGACTTTACCGCCTTCCCGACCCTCTTGAATACCTCCATTGCCTCTGCAACATTTCCATCCTTGAAGCACTCATTAACCATCATATTGAATGTGTCTGAATTTACTGCCAGAAATGATGGCGGGGTGTGATCGTCCAACATGTCATTGAACAAATTCCGAGCCTCTTTCTTCCTTCCATGCCTCAACAATGTCTCTAAAAGCACGTTTCGCTGGGCAGGCACCATCCTGTAATTCCTATCCATCAAATCCCTATATGATTCCATTGCATCCTTCGGCTTCCCCTGTTTGAAGAACCAATCCATGAAGGTTGCATTTACAACCCCGTCATAAACAGAGCAACGCTCCTTCAACTCATCAAACAACTCATTTGCTTTCTCTAAATTTCCCAGGTTCAAATACCCAAGAATCAAATTATTATAAACCAAAGAATCAGCTGCATGACCCTTATGCAACATTTCACGGAGCAAACCCACTGCATCATTAATTCGTCCAGCATCAATAAGTCCCTTGGTGAGATGCTGATAAGTGACGGCTGATGGTGCATAAGGGGCGTTCTCAAGAATGTGATTATATACTTTTAATGCCTCCTCAATATCACTGGACTCGCAGTGGCATCCAATGAGGTTATTGAAGGAAACAATATTGGGAATAATGTCGAACTGATTAAAAAAGTATTGGAAGAGGGCTTTGGCATAGTCGTAGCGCTTGGCGCGATACATGGCAGCAATGATCGCGTTGCAGGTGAAGACCGAGGGACGGGGCGATTGGAACACAGACTGACGGGCAATGTAGGAGGCCGAATCGAGGTCGCCGGCGCGGATGAGGGACTGGACACGGTTGTGGAGGTTGAGGCGAGAACCAACAAGGGAAGAGGTAGAGTCTGGGAGACGAGGCTTATTGGGGTCGTTGGGTTTTGGTGGGGCAGGATGGGAGCGCAGGGCATAGAGTGGGGGCTCAATGCGTACGCGGCGCTTGCGGCGACGACGCTCAGCAGCTGCCTCTTCGGCGGAGGAGAAGCCGTAGGAGCGTACAGGTGTAGATGATGTGGAAGTATTTTTAAATTGATTATTTAAGATATTTGTGGTGGAAATGGGGGATTGACAGGGGTTGATGTCGGCGGCGGCGGAAGCGGAGGAGGACTGGAAGGGGGATTGAGTGTCTAGGTGGTGGTTTAGCGTCTGGGTGGATGTGTTGAAAACGGGGGTTCCGAAGGAGGTGGCAGAGTAGCGGCGGACGGAACGGAGGAGGAAGCGATAGATAGTCATGAAGACGGCTGTCAGCGGAAAGAAAGTGCAGAAGCAAAACCCTAGTCGGGACTTCGGAAAATGAGAAAGAAGGGTAACTTCAAACCTTAAACCTCGTCGGATTATTCAGATAAAAAACGCCATTTTGTTTTCAAGGTCGGTCCAATTCAAGCAGTCCAATTTGAGAATAAATTGGGCATTTTTATTTTTATTTTTGGATTTAATGAATTGGATTTAGAGGAAATTATACTCACACCTGAAAATAGATTTCCAATTTCACAAATCCAATAACAAGTTCAACATTTCAAAAATCAGATTTTATTTAATAATTTAAAAATATTTTTTATTTTTATTTTTATATCTATATACAATAAAAGGAAATTGATCACAACCAAACCCTAGTCATTTCAACCACTTGATGGTAGTGGTTTTTGTGCACAGATCCGATAGTGGTTTTTGATGGTTTTTGTGCACAGATTCGGCGGCGGTGGTGTTGATAGCCATCCGACGGTGGTGGCGGCGGTGTTTTTGTGTGGTTCGATGCGACGGTGGTGGTAGTGTTTTTGTGTGGTGGTAGTAGTGTTTTGTGTGGGGTGTTGGTTGTTGCGACAGTAGTGTTGGTACTGGTTGCTGTGAGGTGGTGGCGATTTTGTGGCGGTGGCGGCGACGGTAGTGGTTATTGTTGGTGGTATGTGATCAAGTATTTGGTTATCTGTGACCAAAAAATTATTAATTGTGACCTAAAAATTATTAATTTGTGACCTAAAAATTATTAATTGTGACTAATAAATTGTGACCTAAATAAGTATTGTGACTTATAAATTTTGGGATCTGTGACCGATGAACAAATTGTGACTTTTAAATTTCTAAGTTGTGATCAATAAACAAATTGTGACCTATGAAAATTTTGAATTGTGACTTAAAAAATTTTCGCCGGACTCGGAATCGGAGCAGTCGCCGGAACAAAGTGGCGGCGGAACAGTCATGGGAATCGGAGCAGTCGTTGGAACAGTCGCTGGAGATGAGTTGTGACCGGAATGGTTGTCGGAGTAGTCCCCGGAGCGGTAAGGGTGGTGGAGGTGGGGTGGGGTAATAATATTATAATAGAATTAAATATTTAATAATAAATTAATTTAATAACTCATTAATTCATAAATAAAAAATTAAAAAACCTGAGTTGTGAAATTTGAAACTTGTTTTTGTATTTTTGAAAATGTGTAAAGTAAATACCTTAGAAATGTATTGTTCCCTTGAATTTACACCCTTTCTACCGAGGAAACCTCACGGGACTTTTTTAACTATTCATTTCAAAAATCAGGTAGTGTGTGTGTGTGTGTGTATATATATATAATATTTTTTTTTTCAAATATTAGGTGCATGTCAATCCACCTTATTTCACACCCACCCACCTGCAGATCTATTTCTCTCTCCCTAGCAAAAATCTTCAATAGCCAGCAACTCACCATCGCTCGCCATTGTCATTACTCTTAGATCCTCACTCGCCCATTTCTCTTCCACAGGGGTTGTTGAAGGTGGAGGCGATCTTTGCTTCTTTGAGTCATTGACAGTTTTTACTTTCCTCGATCTCATTATGGTGTTGGTGGGAGTGGTGTTCTGGTGTGGTGGGTCCCAACAGTGGAAGAAAATTTTGTGATATTTGGGTCCATTGGCACGATTCTCCTTGCTGATTTTGGGACATAGGTACTACATGAGGGTTTGAGACTCCAATCAAAGGTGAGCGGGTGTTGGGGAGATGTTTTCATCGATGGCGTTGGGTGGGTCTGATGGATTTGGTGGCGGTTGAGGGGTGAATAGGTGGTGGCGACTGTAGACTCTACAATTGAGAAAATCAGATTGATTGGGCCACCAGCAATCTTGTGGAGATCAAAGAAAAATAGAACAAGAAAGAAGAACTGTAAAAGATTTTAAGAAGACACCAGTGTTGTGCCGACTAAAGACCCTTTGATGGCCAAGTTAGTAAAGTTTGTCAAGAATTATATGAATGCTAGATGGAAATAAGAAAAAAGATGATTCAGAGTAAAGTAGATTGGATACCATAATGTTTGACTGACCACGTAATTTATAGGAGTAAGATAACCGTCTAGACGAAAATGGCAATGGTTCTCCGAGATTTTCTACTTGGTTGAAGTAGAATTTGATCAGATTTATTTGGTTGAGATATCAAAATTATTTATAGATAACTCAAGTATGTTTTAGTCAAGTGATAATGTAAATTATCTTAAAGATGAATTATTGGAGGTTTTGAATTGACCTGTGGGTCTTGGACCATGATTCAGGTCGGTTGGAATAGTGTTTTGGACCAAAGATGATGTGTTTGTTAAGTGGGCCACTCATGGGCCTCGCTTCATGACTTGGGCCACTTGGACTATTAGAATAATTTTGACTCATGGCTTATCATACCATTGGTTGAGAGTGCACTTTGATCATAGGACGAACCATTTAATCATATAGTTTGGGACGGTAGTAGAATTTGTTATGATGGTGGGTGAAGATGCTTCAACCATTAAAAATTTCATGAAAGATTACCACATGTTTTTGGAGCTGTGCGATTTTATTGAAATTACTGCATGACCGGAAGCCATGCGGCACTTGGGAGAATAATGTACATCTTATCGAGCCGTAAGAATTTTTATACTAATTTTTTTTGTAAGCTGTTTGGTTTTTGGTACCATATGGCTCATAACCTGTTCGATTTTTTAATACCATGTGGCTTAGAAGCTACGTGATGTAATTTGGAAAATTATCGCACGACTTGTCGAGCAGTGCAATTTTTTAGTACCGATTAGTTGAAGGCCATTAAATTTTCAAAATCATGCAGCTCGAAAATAGTTTGATTTCTAATTATTTAGTTTTATTATTATTTATATATTTTATTTTATTTTTTACCACACGACACGGGTTTCTTATTGCCACATGACAACATTTGTGTTATGTGTCAATAGAATGCCACAAAAGTGGCATGCGTGCACCAAGTTTCCTCTCGGCAGTGACACTACCGAGTGGTAACTTTTAATTTTTTTTAATACACACACACATACACATATATTACAAAAATTGTCGATCTATCTAGATCGTGCGGCATGTCTTGTATAGATGTTATCGTCTAGTGATGTTCTCTTTCCTTTTTCGGTCAGAAGGTCTGTGAGATGTTCTTGTTTCAATAGCTTTGCCACTTCTAACCTGAGGGCAATGAAATCATCTGTTTGGTGGCTATGGTCTGCATGAAACTCACAACACTTACTCTTGTCACATTGGTCACTAGAGCTTCTCATATTTTCGGCCCAATTTATTGTACTACCCATGCCCTTTAGCACCGCAATTTGTTATGATGGCCTGATAGAGAGGTTGTATTCAGAGATCCCAAACTTTGTCCTTACAGAAGGGCGATCAAATGGTCTGGGTAGCTCTCTGTGCTTGGTATCCCTCCTGTTTGGAGGAGAATAAATATTTACAGGTTTTACCCTATTTTGTTGTCGCAGCTCTTCTCTGGGGGTTGGTATATGGTGAAATTGAAGTTAGCATCATCATTTTCCCATTTAATCTGGGCCCAAACTTTAGCAAGACATCTTCTATTTTACTACATAGATACTTGGTCAATTCCTTATACCAATCAGTGTATGGGAGGAGCCCTTTTCGAAAAGCAAAAACAGCTGTTTGTTGGTTGTAGCTAGGAATGGAAACTTTCTCCCGATTGAATCTTCGACAAATTTATGAAGTTATTCGCTTTCCTTCTGCACTATATGATAGAGATCGTTGGTCCACTTCTCAAGTTTTCTACTGTTTGCAAACTGTTCAACAAAAGTATCTGTTAGTTATGCGAATGATGATATAGAATATTATGAAGGTTTGTATACCATTGTATGGCCGGCCCCATAAGATGGAGCCGAACCCTTACACATCCAGACCTCGTAAAGGTCTCTTGGTATAGCAGGGATAAACATTCTCGTCTGTATATAGCTATATGATATTCTGGATCGACTATCCCATCATAAAGCTTTATGTTGGGGAAGCTAAACTTTTTGGGCATTTCCACTAGAGTAATTTTGTCAACAAAGAGAAAGTCGGTGTAACACTGGTCGCACTATTTTTTATTGGAACAGGCATCCTGGGGATATGTTGAACTATGGCTTTAATTGCCACTAGCCTTCGTGCGTACTCTGGGTCATGCCCATTGGCAGGCTGTAGTTGTGCATCTTCCAACCTTCCATTTAATGGTATGGCAAATTGGACGTTTGAACCAATGGTCCTAAGTCCATTTTGGTCTAGTGAAGTCAATGGCCTGAATGGAGTTTGGGAACGGGGTGGACGTACCAAAGTTAGATTGGACACCAATAATTTCACTCTTTCTTGGGGTACTTGATTCTCTACACGGATGACAGCATTCTCTGCTTCTAGCTTCTCCATTTTTTGTGAATTTTGCTTTGTCGACATGATGAGTTAGGCTAGCTGAGTAGTTACTTTGCTAAATGGGGCAATAAGTTGAGAGTCCATGAAGGCGGGATGAACGATACTTGATTAAACAGCAGTTGGTTGGACTGGTTGGATCGGGTGCACCGGCTGGACAGTTATTGGCATAATGGTTGTTGCATGGACGGGACCGATCAAAGGGGTAGTAATTGGCGGAACGGTGGTATGGCTTGAGTCGTTTCCTTGTTGCCTTGCTGCTTCCAAAGAGCCACTTCATTCAAAGCATAATCAGTAGAGTCATCCGTATGGTGGATTTCAGAGGTTCCAGACATGGTAATAGTGGTGATTGATGAATAATAGTGCTGAGAGTTTCGTTCGTAAGAATGATTGTTAGGGCCCCCACGGTGGACGCCAAATTGTAGACTGTAAATTCTATAATTGAGAAAATCAGATCGATTGGGCCACCAACAATCCTGTAGAAATCAAAGAAAAGTAGAATAAGAAAGAAGGATCGTAAAGATCTTAAGAAGACTCCGGTGTGGTGTCGGCTGAAGACCCTTCGACTGTCAATTCAGTAAAGCTTATAAAGAATTATATGAATGCTAGATGAAAAGTAAGAAGAAACGATTCAAAGTATAGTAGATTGGATACCTGGGTGTTTGATCGAAATTTTCTGGTTGGTTGAATTAGAATTTGATCGGATTTATTTGGTTGAGATACGAAGATTGTTCATACATAACTCATGTATGATTTAGTCAAATGATAATGTAATTTATCTTAAAGATAAATTATCAAAGGTTTCGAATTGATCTGTAGGTCAGGACCATAATTCTGGTCGGTTGGCATAGTATGTTGGATCAAAGGTGATGTGTTTGTTAAGTGGGCCACTTGTGGGCCTCGTTTCATGACTTGGGCTATTAGAATATATTTTTTACCACTACAGAGACCAATAAAGCTTAATTCATTTCTGATTTTCGAATAAATAGAGGCTTTTTGGGGGGTAGTGCGTCATAGGTGGTGGTAGTGACGGTGCGTTGTAGGTAGGTGGTGGTGGTGCAATGGAGGTGGAGGTGATACTGGTGATTTTGGTGATAGTAGATTGTCGATTTGAGGTGACGGCGATGATTTGGTTGGTGGGACGAGATTGGGTAGGGTGGGTGAAGAGTGATTGTAACCATTCATTGGATAATTATGATCAATTACTTTGATGACTTATAAAAATGTATTATAATTTACAATTTGTGTTTTTGTGACTATGACATTGGTGTGATTGATGACAAGTACATAATCATGATCATAAATTGTGTATTATTGTAACATTGACTTGTTTAATTAATTAATGGGTCACAAAATTTTATGAGATGCCACCTAATTTTTGAAACTTTTCTACAAATTTCTTATTTTTGACGGTGCATTTGGAAACTTTTGTAGTTATATACTTTCCCTCTTTTTATATCGAAGTCTAGCTAATGAAATAAGAATCATACTGGCAATTTTTACAAGCAAAATATTATTTATTTTAAAATTTAATATTTAAAGCATATTTGAGCCTCATTTTTTTCTTTCCAAAATTGCATTTTGAAATAATGATTTGATGAAGAATGCGTGGTTAAAAAATAAAGAAAAATTTTAAATTTATGTGTAATATTATTTTATTGAAGAATGCGTTGAAAATAAGATAAAAATGTATTTTAAAAATAATGAGAACAACAAAGGCTTCCTTATAACTAAAAAACTTTAAGCTTAGGAATTGATTGCAGCTAGGCCAATTAATTCAGCAGGTAAAGGCTTAGAAGCTGCAATGACGGCTCCAAAAAAATAAAAATAAAAAACCTCGGCTTATGAAGATGAATGGCCTAAATTTTCTGAGAATGAATGACAACCAAATTTCTGAAAATTTGAAAAATGTTTCAGAAAATTTCCAAAAAAAAAAAATAAGAATAATAATTAATAATTACAAAGCCAAAAAATTAAAAAATTAAAAAAAAAAATTGCTGTAACTGTCACCTTCTGGATTCAACCACACATTTACACCATCATTTATACAAAGGAATGCTGTTTGGCTTTCCTTCATTTCCATGATGTGAGAAAAGAATATATAACTTGCTGTGTCTACGCGTCTTTGTTTCTGTACAAGTATGCAAGTTGAGCGCCTTAGTTGACGGGGTCTTGGAAGGCCGACTTTGCTAATGAATTTTTTGATCCGATGGTTGAGGATAGAGATCGACCCAACAAGTATCCTCCTTAACGGCCTTATTCCACCTATTCCTAAAAATCCTCATTTCAATATAGGATTGTCTTCGTACCTACGTACAAAAAGTGTATCTAAGAGGTGTAGAATGGAACTATCGAAGACAAAAAATGATGAAGCCCAGTGTCAGGAACTCAGCTCTAATTCCAATTACAAGAGCAATAATGAACAATACGAAATCAGAAATACTCAAAATATGGAGGACAGAACTGATAATACTTGATGGATAAAGTACAACATAAATCTAATGTGAACTCCACAAATTCACACCTTACCCCATGTTGGCACCTATTTTCTAAAACTCATTTTCAATTACACATTTCATGGGACCCTCAATTTTTATCAACTTTTCAACCATACATTTATCCATTTTTTATCAAAATATACTGAAAATATGATTCTTAACTAAACCAAACAAGGGCTTAATATATGAATGTGAGAAGTGTGCATGTGTGTGTTCGTATACGTGTTGCACAGCCTACAAAACGCTTTGAATGACGACAGACGAGAGATTTTGCTCAACCAATTTATCTCACCTTTTTTCTACAGAGCAAATAAGTTAGCAAAACACTTACCGCAGATCTATTGTCAAATTTGTACAGAACTGAAGTTACCTGAAATTCAGGACAGAAATTCTTAATAAGAGATTGATGTTGGCAGGAGGCAGAAAAAGGTGAATTTGAGCTAGAAACTGTACCGATGCTTCTGAATCCGACAAGTTCTTTGATTGAGAAAATTGATCCGATGTTACATTAGTCAACTACACACATCAAACAAAACAAGAATGAAAAGTCCACAAGGTAAGATGATTAAAGTGGAAGACTCAACAATTATTCTGCTTACATCTAAATTTTATATAATAAAAACCAAGCAAAATATAAAGGAAATGTAATGGTAGTTCTGCATTATTAAAGAATCCTCGCAAAGCTCAAAAATTATAAAACTACTTGCGCTGCAGAAGGATCTCTTAGAGCATGTTTGGCTAAGCAAAAAAGTGAGTAAAGTTACTCATCTTAACTTTTAGTTTCCAACCATCTTTAGATAACTTACATATTTATTACTTCTAAGTAAAAAAAAAATTATTTTGGAAGTAACTCTTACCTTACTGTCAAAATGAATTACTTTATTATTTTCAACTTTGCATAAAAGATTATTTATTTCAAAACTTATGCATGCACTCATAAGTAGACTTTTTAAACTTAACAAAACATGCTCTCAAGTACAAGATCAATAAGAAAACGTTACAAGACTTGAGCCATTGTACGGAATCAATCAGTGCTCAACTATCCATTCTAACCTATTGAACACGTGTACTCATTTAAAATCTATTAGTTTGTAGGTTCGGTAATTAGAGTCGGGGTGGAAAATGGATGCATCATTTACTTGCCTTGTTTTCATCTGAAAGACCACCAAGTGTAGGAAGACCCAGATGAACTATATACTCTGCATCAACCACACCAACTTTGAGCATCCGATCGCCCTGTGAAAAAAATTATATTTATCCAACGTATTCGAGGAAGAAGCTCAGACAAAACAGAATTGAATTCCAGTTGGTTACTTGCCTGTGCACAATAACCAAGCTGCATATCCAGGCCCCACGCATGGATCAAGTCGTTCTGTATACAGTTATGCTTATTAATGTCAAGAAACGACAAAATAAATAAGAAAAGAGCCCCTCAAGAAAATAGAAGCTAGCTGTACATAAGAACTACACTGAAAACACCAAACACAATTATTGAAAATAAGCCGAATCATTATCGAGTACAAGATATTAATGGATCGGGGAGATTATAAAACTAATTGAAATAATTAATTGATCGATGGCTAGTCAAATTTAAGTACCATCAATTGGATACTTCATAATAGCATGAACATAAACTTCATATTTGCTTTCAATATGAAAAAAGTGGAACAAATGGAATGTTCTTAAAATATTGAGCATGGTTTTTAAGTTAATATTTTGCAGTTTTCCATTAAATTTTACACTTTGACAAAATAGTGAGATTTTAGCGTGAAAATTTGAAAAGTTCAGCAACTGTTTCAGTTGTTCAGAAGCTTACTTCAATACTTACCATCCCCACAAAAAAAGGACATATTCACATATTTTTCATCTATCGCATTTAATCCATAGAAATAATAGATAGAGCAAAGATTATATACCTGGACCATATACCAAGCACAACGCCAGGCTGCTCTTGAGAACACAGGAGCCATCATTTCCACCCAACTACACCACAACTTTTTGTGTAAGAAAAAAGTACTGTACTCTTCTAATAGTATTTACAGAACCAGTTAACATCCCCCTCACTAGGACCATTTCAGCTTCTAAAAAATCAGAACACTTCTAAAATGTTGTAAGCCAGAGTGAGAAACAACACTGATTTCAAATTCCCATCGGGTTTTAAAGAGCATAACACATCCCCCATATATGAGGAGTTAAGAAAAGAACCCATGAGGTAAACCCAAAGGGTAAGTTGTATTTTATTGCAAACCAAATGGCTCAAATTTTTAATCTCACCCGACCCACCTGGGTAAAGTATAGTCTCCTACAGGTTCAAACAGAAGACAATGGTTTTAAGAAGAATAAGAAGATGAAGAAAAAGAACTGAGAGTCAGATTCTTACCCTACGCAAGGAGGAGCTGTACTGTTATCATCACACCTTCCACCACCTTTTAATTTATAGTACCTCCTATTCAAAGCATTAACAAATAGATTAAACATGGAATATATATACATAACTGTTATTATTAATCAGACAAACTCGAATCAAGAGTCCAAACTAACGTTTGCAAAACACAAGTTATTTTAACACATTTGCCAGGGTATGGATGTGGTCAGATTTTCTTGAAATACTAATACTTAAAAGGCTTAAAACACGTGAGTGTGAATCACCTCGGCACCTTATCTATGACTAGCTCACTTAGCAAATTCAGCAGTGTCAAGCTCCAAACATAACCAACACGTGCATGTTATTCTTGTAACCATAAATTGTCTAACCTGTGCACCTTTGATCTCCTTCTACGTGCAGTAATGTGATGATGCACCTCTGATTTACCAGGATCAAGAGCAGGCTGTGAAATTTCGAGATCTTCTTCCTTAATAATGGATAGATACCTGTAAAGATACGTTATTATAACAAACTTCTGAATAAAGTTTCATTAGTGAAGAAATATTATAACTAAGTGACAGTTAATTTGCCATTCTTGCATTTCCCACAAATCTAAAATGTCTATAGGACCCATCATGTAATCTGTAGCATCAGAAAATGCCACAGCCCACAAAATTCTTGCCTTGACCTTTGGTTAGAAACAGGAGCATAATATTTTGGAGAATGCTTCGGAAAAAAGGAATTCACTGTTGTAAAATATATACTGAGAGAAATAATTCCACAGATCGGAATCAATTCATTTGTCCATCATGGGTGTGTCATTATTCACTTCATGTCTTAGGATTCATACTTTCACAGTCTGTTCTCAGTTCTCACTCACTTTCTCCTCCACAAGTTCAATCATTGTTCTAAGAGAAAACTTATTTCTGGAATCAACGAGGCTCAGACCTATGTAATTGATCCTAGTAATAACTAGACACACTTGCAAGAATACAGATAGTGCACAAGAATGCTACAACCTAAGCACCTCAATAACCAGTTAAAAATCCAGCTTGATTACACAGATATCAAGTGCAAGGACAAATACCTTCCTGGATGAAAATTTTTAACGCCAAGGTCCTCATCCCACAGAAAAATATACTCGTATTCAGCAATGATATCTGGATGTAGAAAACGTTTGGCGAACCACCTATGCCATAGAATAAGGTCTTATACACATCAATAAGCAGTATACATTCATCACTCATCAGGTGAAGTAGATTGCATGGGACACGATATGAAAAGAAAAGATGCTAAAATCATACCATAATATAATCCAGTCCTATTGACTACTTCATACTAGTAGTCAAGGAATAAAAAGCTAACTGCAGCAAGAACATTTTTAAGAACTTTACCATTTTGTTTGGTTTGTGGCAGAGACATGAATGACTCTCCCATACCAGTTGAAGTCGTTCCATTCATCCACAACACCATCATAGTGAAAAAGCATCACTACAAAATCATTTGCCAGAAACTGCAACAAGATGAAGCCACCAAACTTTGGTTCATGTATAGAAATGATAAGAAGTGAATCTAGAGAAAAACTATGACCAGATAAAGTTTCAATGCAGCAATCGAAAAGGAACGACAAACATTACCTTCTCAACAATATGGTTTGCCAACTCTTTTTGCTTAATCCCAACTGCAATTGCCAACAAATTCTTTGCATGGTTTGAGTTATCCTGATTCACGTGTGTAGTAATAAGAGAAGGACAAGAAGTTGAATAGAATCACACAACTCACAAGAAGAATTATGTCTTTTGAGAGCAAATAGTAGATTGTATAAAGTTCTCGTGTTATAAGAATGGTTGCACTGTTACTCCAAATACTTTTTAGGTTTTCTAATTTTAACTCGAGAAAACCTTCAATAGTCAAACTCATAAAAGATGTTACAGTACAGTTACATACATTTGCTGAAACAGGGCCCCACAAAGGCCGCATTTCCAAGTTTGAAGTTGATGACACTATTCCTTTGGGTAAAGCCTCACCACCAAAAGGCCTGCACTTCACCTAAGAGAAAAACAAAGTTATGTCAGGAGCAACTTATAAACATCATTCGAGAAAAGCACCTCTATGACAGTAGATGGGACAAACTTCGCATTTGTTGAGCTGTGTATTCTCTTTCGTATCATTGACTTTTACGTGCACACTTGATCCTACCTACAAAAGTAGTTTTAAGAATCATGTACGACAAGTTAACACATACATTAAAATACTTCAAGCGCTATAGGATAAGGGATGCACAGGAAGCATTTAGGGCCTTTCAAAAGTTAGAAAGCTTAGGGTCAATTTTACAATCTCAAACTAATTACAAGAGATAACCAAATTAAAAAGAGCAAATTTTACTTCCCCGCTTGGTGAATCTCATCTGAACTTCCTCAATAAATTAATAGCTTAAGAAAACAAACAATATGATTGGCAATTATAATGTCAAAGAAATTTTTGATCTTTAAGATAAACACTCCTTTCCTTCAGGACTTGGAAGGTGTGGGGGAGAAATGATTTAACTCCTAAATGCCAATATCATATACCTACATCCATGCATAAGGACGTACTTAGCATTTATCAGATATTGATGCCACTAAAACAATGTAATTTTTCACAAATGTACCTTGCAATCATCATATTCTGTATTTTTATGTGCTCCATTCATTCCAAATCCAGGTAATATCTGCATCAGAGAATAAATGATGTTTATTTTTGATACTAAATGTAAAATTTTGAGGTAAACCCACATCATGCTATACATTCAGCAGATTTTCCACCGTTTACAACTGAAAACAAAAAGCAAATCTATGAATACGTTTGCATTAATATTTACCCTGAATGAATCTTTTCCCAGCCATGCACTCCCAATGAAATAAACACCAAAAATCAAAGAAGCTGTTACAAAGAGACTGCAGAGACACGATCTAGTTTTAGGATCCAATATAACCTGAAAGGGAACATGATCCAAAAATAAGAGGTAATAGCAGGATAAGAACTGTTCTTATATTCCAATTAACAGGTGAAAAAAGGGCAAAAATATATGAGTTTTCCCTCTCGTCGAAATCCAAATTGTATGAGCAGGTACAGGGGAATATGCTCCATAAATAAGAGGTAATACCAGGAAAAGTAACTGTTCTTGTATTCCAATTAACGGATGAAAACAGGGGAAAAAAATGGGTTTTCTCTCTTGTCGAAATCAAATTTGTTTGAGCAGATACAGTACATGTGGTTTATTACATCTCTAAAATCGAGACATAGGGCATAAATAATCAACATCGATTAAAAAATTTGTACTACTTGTAAAGGACAATAGTTAAGTTGATGAAGGTAGTGATGAACAGACATAGGTAACACGCCTCTGCCTAAGAACTGGTCCATTGGAATGAATCATCATGCCTAAATAACTAAAAGGCGACGTTCTATCAACCAAACTACTATTTAAGTCACATTTATCGAAACTGATAATGATATGCAATTAAATTACTTCCGGGATCACTGTTTTTGAGCCGTCATCAATTTTATCTTATCATATTGATGAAACAAATTGCAAAGGAATAAAAAGAGAATAGTTGGCCTCTTGAGTGCAGAGTGAGGTCGGGATTATTCAATTTTGCAGAACTGTAGATGATGATTATCAGTCAACAGCAGCAAACTTCAGTTTGTTCATCAAAAAATGCGAGAAGATGATACCCCAAATCTGGGGAAACTCCTAAGTTGGAGTTAACTACACCAGAACCAAGAATATACTCTCAGAAAATAATAATTTCTTCAATGATTATGGATAAATCTTCAAAATATCTCGCCTACACGGGATACCAAGAAAACCGTCTCGTTGTTGCTTGCCAATACACGGTGTCAGAGCAAACATTCACCAAGCTTGCATAATTACCATATGCCTCCAAATAGGATCAGCATAAATTGAACTCAAACAATTCTTCACAAATTCTAGTCTCTATTTTTGGCATTTTCTCATGAAACGACCCGACATCAGAGGGATAAGAAGAGACCCCAATATTTTGTCAAAACTAATACTGATTTTAGCATTTAATTTTCCAAGAAACAATATAATCAACTACTGAAAACGAAAGCCATAATTCAACTCAAATAGCTACAAGTAAAATTCTACAAAACCCATTAACCTCTCGATAAACAGTTATACAAAGCAACATAACAGAAAAATTACATGTTATATACAGATAAATATTTAAATTAATACATAACAAAAAGAAAGCGGCACATACAGAATTTAACGACTTCATCTTGCAGTAAAAACTCCACAAAATCCAAAAGTACAGCTGATACAGAGAAGATCGAAAAAATGGCTTTTCTTTTTCTTGTGGGCTTTTAGAAAAAATCAGAAGAAAGTCGAATAATCCTATTGAAAAGGAAAAGAATCAAGAGAATGTCCAGAGAAAGAAGGCAATAAAGGTATTTTTCCCCCAGAACACGACGTCGCTTCGCCTTCACTTCATCCACTGTTTCTCCACCAAAATTTTTTCAAACGGCACCATTAATATTAGTAAGACCTTTCACCACATACACATAAATAAATACATATTCGTATACATTGATAGATACAAGTGGGCGTATCTATAGATTTGTACTATTCTTTGAGAAGTAGAGTGTTGGTTTCACCATGTTTTTATCCTGTTCAAAAACATCATGGGGGCCCGAGTTACACGGTGGAATGTAATGTCGTGCAAGCGCGAGTATGATAATTCTTTGGAATTTTCAGGTGGGCCCGGCGGCTCATAATCGTGATTTAGTGGCGTGAAAATTGTTTGAATATCTTCTGATTTCGTGTGATATAATTCGAATTATTTATTAATATGACAGCTGGAGCTGAGCAATTAAAATAAAACTGAAAATATGTTCTATTTGAATAATTATGTTAATTCCATCACATTTTAATTGTACGTACTTCGTTTTTCACGCATTTGTACTTCTAATTTTTCATTAATTAACATATATAGACCGTGTTCGGTAGAAATTAAAATCGGATTAAAATTGAAAAATTAGCAGTTATTGTTGACTTTTATTAGACGAGTGGGATCCAATAACAGCTATATTTTCAATTTTAATTGAATTTTAAGCTTAGTCAAACATACTCTTAATTATGTCCCAAATGTCTATTGAGAGGATATAAAACGAGTTACTTCGCGTTATTTTTTAGAAAATAATAAATACAAAAATTTGGTAGAATATTTTTGGGAGGATGCGAAACAAGTTACTTCGTGTATTTTATAGAAAATAATAAATACAAAAATTTGATAAAATATTTTTTTTCATTTTAAAGCACGCAAACAGAATATAAAATGAGTTACTTCGCGTATGTGATATACTAATTAATGAAATGTTGAAAATAAAAAATCGATGAAAAAATGAAGGACTTAAAATGTTACAATTGACAAGTATTGAGAACCTTGAGTGCAATTAAAATATAAGATAACTAATGGAAACTGGTGTATGAATATATTTACAAAAATGCTATACATTTAGTTTGACATTTGGTGCGTGGTTAAAAAAATGATTGAAAGGAAAATTGTTTATTTTTTAAAACTGTTCAATGACGTGTTGCCACATTACAAAGTGTAAAACATAATGTCAACAATGATGTAC